TTTCGCATTTTAATGGACCCGAAGCCATTTTAATGAACCTTAAGCCGGTCCGTGTGGTGAAGCTAAGATGGACCTCGTCGAGATCTATCATTTGATATCAAATCCGTCAAAATATCTTGTTCTGAAGCCGAGTTATCTGCCGCCCCGCCATCTGTCCGGGCCGGCCCGTTTGCAACTATGGAATACTGTAGCTTGTCTCCAAACGAAGTTATGAGCCAAAAATCATCTACCGTATCTGATTTACTTGGTCTGGAAATATTGATCCTAAAGGCTTTAAAATCTCGACTTTTCCGACATTTCAGTTTCCAGTTTTTCTCAGGAACCCTCTTATAAAATGGCACTTACTTCCAGCCCCTCCCGCTCCCCGACACTGTAGCTGTCAAGTGATCGATACGATTCGCGGAATCCACCTCCCCCAACTCACGCACCTCTTCCAACACCCCGAACCCCTCACCTTCGCCGCCCTTCAACACGCCATCCACCTCTTTGACGTCATCTCGAGAATCCTAAACTACGCTCCGAAACACTCCACAGAATCCCTTAGAGCCAGTGTTCAGAAGACGTGGAAAAAGCGCCTGGACCGAGAGAAATTCGCCGAGTCGTTGATTCATCTGGGACGGAATGTGACCCAGTTGAGAGAGGCGTGTGGAATCCCGACGATGGCGACTGATAGGACACTGGGGACGCTGGATGAATGGATTCGAATTGTGATTCAGAAGGAGAAGACGACGTTTGAGCGACCCGTGGAGAGTGTGTTCAGTCCGGCGAGCTTGTTCATTGATTTGAAGATTGTCTAGGCTTCCCATTGTATCAGATATTGTGGAAAACGCGCTCTATTGAGAATCCAGAAAAAAAAGGAGCAATGGAGCATGTTTGCTGACTAAACGGAGTCACTAGGTCCTATCCTTATCCCTCTGTAAACACGCTCTATTGCTCATTTTTTCAAAAATTCACAATAGAGCGCGTTTCCCATTTTTTCCTCTCTCTCTCTCATTCCGTTGTTCAAAAAATGCTTATTTTTGCCTGAAATCTCTGTTTTTTGTGATTTTTCTAATTTTTGATATTTTCCCTGTGTCGAATAAACTCATTTTCTTCATAGCTCTTTTTTGGATTACGGTAGTCTGCAATTTGTCGTAAGATTCGTTGTTTTCAAGACAAAAATTGCGTCTCGAAAAGATGCATCACATTTGACGACAAAATGCGGAAATTGTTACTGTAGCTTCACCAGTTTATTGTAGGGACAAATTCACTAGTACAGTATTCTTAATTTTTGGATTACGGTAGATATCTACCGCCATCCTGTAGAGACCCATTCATGGAGTACTGTAGAAGTTTGATGTCAATAGATTACTGTGGATTACTGTAGGGAATCATGACAAATTCGGAAGTACAGTATTTCTCACATTCAAGGATTACTGTAGATAACAAGACTACAGTACCCCTAGGTAAATTACTGTAGCCTTACCAGATCCCTATAAAGATACATAATTTGAAAACTACAGTCCCCTGATTTTTGGATTACTGTAGTTTGCTTTCAAATTACTGTAGGAAGACTCTAGCAAAAACTACAGTACTCTAGGATTGGCGTCATTCAGTGATTACTGTAGACCATTACACTTGGCATAACTTCAAACTACAGTACCCTCACGTTTGAATTACTGTAGCTCCACCACATTCATGTGGGTAGACTTGACAAATTCGAAAATACAGTAACCATTTCGAGGAGTACTGTAGACGATTCACGTAAACTACAGTACACTTCATTTTTGGATTACTGTACCTTATTGATATTTCAGGCCTGTTCTACGCCGTTCAAACAGCGATGAAATTGGACAAATCCAGCCTGGAAGCTCGTCAATATCTCACTGGCCTCCTCACAACGCTGGAATCCATCAAAACGCAATTAGCCGATAACGAGGCAATTAAGAACGAGACGATTGCTCAGGCGCATATTGAGAGTTTCGCCGAGAAACTCTTCAATTTCGCCGATAAGAAGGAGAAAACGGGCAAAGTGAGTGCCGAATTTGAATTTGGCGGGGTTGATTTGGCCGTGGCCGAGTTTTGGTTTTCTAGGCCACCACCAAAATTTCCATTTTTCAGGTCGACAAATCAGTGGTCCACGCGTTCTACACAGCTGGCCATGTCATGGATATTCTGGCACTTTTCGGAGAGGTATGTGTACACCATGGCCGAGTTTTTGGGAATTCTAGGCCATCGAAAAAATTCTAGGCCATTAAAAAAAAAAATTTTTTAATTTTTTTAAATTTTTTTCTTCTAGATCGATGAGCCATTTTTGTCGTCCAAAAAGTATGCGAAATGGAAGAGCACGCAGATTTTCACATGCCTAAGAGACGGGACCCCATATGTGCCGAGCATCCAGCAAGAGCAGGATGACGATGAGTTGGCTCAGTTTGGAGCACAATTTCAGCCGGGAGGAGGCGCCGGACCACAAGAACACAGCTACAGTAATCCCGGAGAAGCAGCGCCAAGAACTGGGTTTGGAGCCGCTGGGATTCCGCATGTGCCATCAGGTAGGCTTTTTGGAGATGGTGGCCTAGAAAAAGCTAGGCCATGTGGAGATGGCCTAGAATCCCGTGAAAATTAAAAGTTAGGCTACATGGGATTTCTGGGCCACCAGATAGCCATGGCCGAGAAACGCCTCAAAACAAAAGCTAGGCCGTTTTCATTTTGGTTGCCTAGAATCCCGGTAAATTGGAAAAGTTAGGCCATGGCCGAGTTTTGGTTTTTCTAGGCCAAATACACATTGTTTTTTCTCGCTTCTTTGTCATTTTGAAGTGGTGGCCTAGAAAACCCAACGTGGCCTAGAATTCCAATAATCCTCTTCCATATATATAGTTTCTCTTCTTCCAGATAATTCTCTTCCACCACAACCACCAGCGCGTTCAAACGTGCCACCACCGAATCCACCGTACTCCTCAACTCCCAATCTCCCATCTCAACAGTTCTATCCACCAGCACCTCCAGCAGCCGCTCCACAAAATCCACGTCATCAACAGTATGACGACTTCTCGACACCATCATCGGCTCCGGTTCTTCCGACGTCTGGCGCACAACCGACGGATGAGGAATTTGCGGAAATTCGAAAATTAACAAAATACGCGATGAGCGCTGTAGACTATGAGGATGTGAAGGCGATTCGAGAGAATTTGCAGAAGGCGTTGGCCATTTTGCAGAAATATTGATTTTATTGATTTTTTGCTTTTTTTTTGTTGTAATTTTTGGAGTTTTTGGGGCTTTTTTGGGGGATATTTGAGGAGTGAAAACGCAGTGAAAATCGCTGAAAATTCTGAAATTTCTAGCAGTATTTTTCGATTTTTTAAGCTAACAATTTGAAGTTTTTGGCTGAAAATTCCGAATTTTCACGTTGAAATTCTGAGTTTTTCGGCTAAAAATTCCGGAATTTTAGGTTTGAAATTTTAGATTTTCAGCTAAAAATTTTGAATTTTTGAACCTGGAATTGCTGAATTTTCGAAGTGAAAATGAGCATTTTGGTGTAAAATCGCTGAAATTCCAGCTTTTTACCGAAAATTCTGAATTTTCAGCCAAAATTCCCCAATTTTTTTGTACTCACGTTTACGATTTTTCAGCTGAAATGTTCAAAATTTCAGCGGAAATTTTTTATTTTTTTTTGCTGAAATTCCGAAAAATTTCCCCTGAAAATTTGTGATTTTTTGCTGAAATTCCGAAAAATTTTCCTGAAAATTTGACATTTTTTGGTTGAAAAATGTCAATTTCGAATTTTCGAATCTAATTTTTTTCAGAATTTTGACCTAAAATTTTGAAATTGTCAATCTGAATTTTGCAAATTTTTCACTGAAAATTCTGAATTTTCAGCCAAAATTCCCTAATTTCGAACTTAAAATTTCGACATTTTTTGTCGAAATTCCGAAAAATTTCCCCTGAAAATTTGTGATTTTTTGTCGAAATTCCGAAAAATTTCCCCTGAAAATTTGTGATTTTTTGCTGAAATTCCGAAAAATTTTCCTGAAAATTTGACATTTTTTGGTTGAAAAATGTCAATTTTCGAATTTTCGAATCTAATTTTTTTTCAGAATTTTGACCCAAAATTTTTTTGGTTTTTGAAATTCTCAATCCGAATTTTGCTAATTTTTTACTGAAAAATCCTAAAGTTCGATCATTAAAACGAGCGATTTCAGAGAAAAATTCCAAATTTTAGTTTCAAAGTCCATATTTTTCAAAAAATCTCGATTTTTGAGCCCTGCAATGTCTAAAATTTCAATGTATTTTTCCCTGAAATTCCTCTAAAACCCCTCTATTTTCTCCCCGAATTTCCCACAAAATTCGCTAAAATTGGCTTCAATTTTTCCTTTTTTTTTTGTCTATTTCTCTAATTCGCTTCTCTCTCGTCTTTTCTATTTGTAAATCATTTTTTGTCTCTTTCTTCCCAAAAAACCAGCCACCCACCACCATTTTATTTCAGTTTATGGCCCGAAAAATGCCAAAAATATATTCCCCCCCCCCCCTGTTTTCTCTAAATCTCTCATTTCCCTTTACTGTTTCTTTCTCCCCGCTCTCATCTATCTATCTGTGTGTCCCGATGTCCGGATGATGATGATGATGGTTTGAAAATGAATGTATTTATGCTTAAAAATTTTATTTTTAAAACCTAAAAATATATATATTTTTTTTTTTGGAAATTTAAATGTGTTTTTGTGGTTCTTGTGTCTCGTCGTTTTTTTTGTGTCCGAAGAAGAGGGTATTTTGCCCTGTCACCCATTTTTTGTGTTGCCTAATTTCTGATTGTCTGCGTCTCTTGATCTCTAGTTGTTCTCTTTCAAAATTTGATTTTTTTTCAAGCTAAAAATTCTGGGTTTTCAGCCTTTTCGAATTGACCTAGTTTCAGAAAATAGGCGTGTTTCGATGGCCTAGAAATCTAATAAAGCCTAGGCCATCATTGGATTTTTCGGTTTTTTTAAAACTAATTTAGTCCAAATTCGAATTTTTCAGAGTCAGTAGGATGCACGATGAACCTGAAAAGAAGAAGAAAGGGTTGAAGTTGTGAGTTTTGATTTTTTAAAGTTTATAATTTCAAAAAAAAAAGTTAGAGCTCAATTGTCTCGGGTCCTTCAAAAGATATCAAAATTTCGTCAACTGATAAAATGTTTATCATATTATCACTAAAATTTTATCAGTTGACAGAATTCTGATATCTGTCATAGGAACCGAGATAACTGAGCTCAAAGTTGTGAGATGTGCTCTAATAAGCTGCCATCCTAAACCTGCATTTTGAGCTCAATTATCTCGGTTCTTTTGAAAGATATCAAAAAATGGCCAACTGATGAAATATTTTTGATATTATGATAAATATTTTATCAGTTGACTGATTTTCGATATCACTCATAGGAATTGAGATAATTGAGCTCACAGAAGCCCGCCCAAACCGTCACCTCTTTGAGCTCAATTATCTTGGTTCCTGTGAGAGATATCGAAATTTTGTTAACTGATAAAATGTTTATCATAATATCGCTAACATATCAGTTGAAAGATTTTTGATAGCTCTTATAGAAACCGAGATAATTGAGTCTAAATGTGCAAGTGGAAGTTCACAATTTTGACTTTTCAGTGAAAAATAGTCAACTTTAAAGCTCTACAAAAGTTGTCCAACATTTTTCGATTTTTTCTGAAATTTTCAGAGTGTACTAAACAAAAATAGAGCTTCATTTTTGTATTTGACAACTTTTTTGTAGCTTTCTTGGCTTTTGAGAGATGCGCCTTTAATGATGGTGACTCGGTCGCTGTGGGAGGATATTGTAGTTTTAAAGGCGCATATCTCGAAACTAAAAGATTTACTAAAAACTTGTCAATTACAAAAATAAAGCTCTATTTTTTTTGTACACTTTGAAATTTTTAGACAATTTCGAAAATTTTGGAGTACTACTGTAGAACTACAAAGATGACTATGTTTTCACTGAAAAAATACGTACTTTGGTCCAGGCACTGTAGCTGAACATTAGTAAACACATAAAAACTGTTTTTCTAGTTTTTTCTTATTAATTTAAAATCAAAATTGACATTTTTATGACATTCCAAATTGGAACATCGCATTTACCGTATTTCATCTCATAGAAGCACACCAGGGCCATCAGCTTTGAGCTCAATTATCTCGGCCCCTATGGAAGATATCAAAAAGTGATCAACTGATAAAATATTTGTCATAATATCAGCAATATTTTACCAGTTGGCCACATTTTGGTATCTTTCAAAAGAACCGAGATAATTGAGCTCAAAGTACGGGTTTAGGATGGCAGCTTATTAGAGCACGTCTCACAACTTTGAGCTCAATTATCTCGGTTCCTATAACAGATATCAAAATTTTGTCAACTGATAAAATATTGCTGATATTATGACAAATATTTTATCAGTTGA